AAAAAAAAAAAAAAGCATGTTTATTCTGAAACACACCGGCATTGAGATTTAATGTGACACGCTGTCATTCCCTCCTTATCCATGTTTATAGAACAAAACACAGCCTTCCTCACATCCACTCATTGGTGTTCATTGGTGATGAGTTAACGTTGGAACAACTTTGGGCAACATGGATAAAATCTTCTGTTATGGTACTTTTCAATTTGTATGTATATCTGTATATATGGTGGCATATGGCTGTCCATAGAGAAACTGTTAATGGTTAATAGCAAATTAAATACCCAACAAATCAAGTTACTTAAATACATTAATGCAAACAATATAAAAATCCCTATCTGTTATAAAGCACTTGATTTGCAGCATTGCCGTAAATGGTGTAATACACCCAAAGAAATGAAACTGTTATACACCACGGTATAAACAAATGAATCGCCTCATGGTATCGCTGAACTCTGCTGCGAGGTATTGAGTGTTTACTACCTAAACACAAAAAGACCTTTTGAAGTCTCTGTTGATTAATATACATTTAACACTGTTAGTATTTTGATACCACTTTGTCTGTACGATAAATATGAAGCTGAAAGCAAAGTCCACCTACTAGCATCTCTAAAGCCCGCTTATTAACATGTTACTTCTTGTTTATGTTTTATGGGGGCGGGGGTTATGTGCCAAACCATTTCTTGGCTGTGAAAATAAATAGTCTGACACATAACCCGCCTTAAGACCACAACGTGTAATTTTCCCACGTCAAATTTTGTATAGATTTAAACAAAGGACAGATTATAAAGACGGATTTAAAAGCTTTGGAGGTGCTGTAGGCAGATTCTGTTATCATAGTGTTTCCCTTGTTTCCAGTGTTTGTGCTGAGCTAAGCTAAGCAGCTACTGGCTGTAGCCTGACAGATATGACAGTGGTATTGATCTTCTCATCTAACTGTCCAACTATTCCTCTCCAAATCAATCAGTTTGGTTCACTCACCAAATGGCAACTATTTCGTCTGTCAAGTGTTATATCAGTGTCTCTGTGTAACGGCTTCTGTCATTTAGTCTTTTCCTTTTAAGTAACCTTGACACATTCATTAAAATAAACAACAACTGATCTACAGAAAGCAGCAGCTCACTGTTTTATGATGTAAAAATACATTCCTGCAGTCATCCAGACGCCCCTTTTGTAGCTTGTGACAACAGCATAATTAAAACCAATTCAGCTACTCGTGCTCAAAAGGCTTTTGATAAATGATTGCAGGAAGTGAGTGAGACGTTGTTGTTGATAAAAATATATTGTAGTTTATATTGTCTACCAAGATGTTTTGAATTGCACAAGAGCTAAAGGTTTATATTAGATCTACGAAATAATTTTGGTTTATCAATTCTCCTTCTTCAATATGCCACCGTGGTTTAAGAGCTGCTCTGACTTTAATCAATTCATTAAAAAGCAATTGCTTCTGAACAGTTTGAAAGTGGGTTAATTGGTCACAACATGCAGCACAGGCTCTGGTTCAAGTATACATTTTGAATATAAACTCAATATTTAAAGAGTTTGTGAGTCTAGGACTTCCTGCTGCCACTTGAGCCTTACATCTGTTCACAATGTCTGAAATAGTCGGAGTTATTTATGTGCAGACACAAGGTGTGTCTGAGACAGCATGGGTGCTCTGCAACTTTCTCTACCGACTACGGCAACAGACTTTTAAATAGCTCAACAGCCATAATGCATATGTTATCTCACAGGAGCTGCGCTGGTGCAGACCACATTAATATCAGATGCTTCATCTTCCACTCAGCAGCACCCACCCTGTCCTAATTTGACCGATGTTTAGCATCAAGGTCAGTGAGTTGCGTGCAAGCATGTGCCATGTAAAGCCGTTTGTTTTAGTCCAGCTGTACAACATTGAGGGTGATTTCACTCATTAGGCCCTCACTGTGATTGTGAGTATTATCAGCTGGCGTGGTGAAGGGTTTTCAATGCAATACTGCATGCACGCAGCTCACAGTGTCACATGACAAAGGACCACCGCACTAGGCAGAAGACAGGATTATGTTAGAGAGGAGGTATGATTGTAAAGCTGCAGTGATGGAAGCAGGAGGGGGTGAGGGAGAGAGAGAGAGAGAGAGAGACAGGTTCGATGTCAGACTGCTGCAGTCACGGCTGGGCAGGGCTTACGGGCTGTCACTCACATAGGGACACCATGCCGCAGCCACACTGTGGGGGAGGGGCTGCCTGTGCAGCAGCTCAGGGGTGAGGAGAGGTGGATTGGAGTGTATGAATGTGTGTGTGTGTGGATGGGTGGGGGTCTGCTCTGCACCAATCAAGCATTTTAAGTCAAAGTCGAAGCAGAGATGTAACAATAGCAACATCAGGGCTGTTACTGCTGGCAGCACTGCAATATGTCAAATATTAATGTCAGCGGTTCGTGCTGTGAAAAAGCCCAGAGACAAATAATTTGGTATTTACTCTAAGCTGCACATCGAGTCCGGCCTTACCGGGTCACAGGCCTTTTACAAAAGTGACGTACAGCCTTTTGCCAATCCAAACCGCCAGTCTGACATTTCTGCTCTACTTCCTGAGCCAAATGTGGTTTTCAGTTTGCTCACGGCTCTCAAGGTTCACTGGCTTCCCATGTCCCAAGGCTATATGCAACGTAGCAAAACAACAATCATGTAAATATGTAATATTAGCAATAAGTAACATAATAGTTTGCTTATTTGCTTTCTGGCAGAGACTTAGATGAGCAGGTTGATACCACTCATATTTGACCCCTAAATATAAGGCTCCAGCTAGCATCCAGGTAGCTTAGCTTAGCACAAAGAGAGAGAGTAGCTTGCATGGCACTGTAAAAGGTAACAAATAATTAACACATTTTATCTTAAAAACTGAAGTTCCCAGACTGTTTCTTGGCTGGGACCAGTTTCCTGGAGTCTCTGCTGGTTGCCTGGCAACTACCAAGAGATAGTCTGCCACATAAAACAACAAATTGTTGTTTTTACACTTCAGATTATGTACAGATTAAACAAACAAAATACAACATGCTAATCAGTGAGCTTTAGAGTTGCTGGTAGGTGTATTTTGTAGCTGTTGGACGGAGCCGTGCAAGCTGTTTCCCCCTGTTTCCAGTCTTTGTGCTAAGCTAAGCTAAGTGGCTGCTGGCTGTACCCTTTAAGGGAAGATGTGGTACTGTCTTACCCAACTCTCAGAAAGTGAATAAGTGCATTCCCAACATGTCTATACCTTTAAATAAATATATAAATGTATTCAAGGGATATTGTGGGATTTTGTGTTTATACAAGAATGTTGCAGACTAATTTGTAAATAAGATCTTGACTCAGATAAACAAGATAAGCGAATGCAAAATACATCTCAAGCCAAATCCTCTCTCCTCTTCATATTAGGCATACATTAGCACTTCATATTATCCATAGTGCAGCTTTAATCTGTCTGATCTACAACAGCAGATGAGACAGCTATTTCAAAGGCACAATACTCTGGTACCATAATATACACGCTGCACAGTCCATCCTGCAGACCCCACTGTCTGCTCCCTGTTCCAGAAAGCGAGAAAGCTCTAATGGGAAGCTGAAGTAGTAACTGTTTGTCCCCACCTCACCCTCCTCCTCGCCCTCCTTTCTCTGAGCTCAGAGTAATTCGTATTGATTGTTTTGTGCAACTCGATACCAAGGTGATTCACCGGGACTACCATACAATCTCATGTCTCCTCCACCGCTGATATTAAGGGTGGGGGGGAGGGAGAAATGGGGGCGGATAATCTTCTGTTGTTCCCTTGGTGGGTCTTAATGAGAAATCTTCAGGTGAACATTTGTTCCTTCAAAACGGCAGACATGATATAGAGCCCGAATCTATTAAAATGACTAGCAGTGGACCACAGACCCTCTGTGCTGTAGTCATCTTGGAAACACACCAGGCTGTTAGTGAAGATCCATCCTTCCTGCTGGCTGTACTATGGCAAGTGGAGAGGCAGGCCATTGGGTGCAATCTGTGTGTGGGATTAGATGGTGCTCCACAGGGGTCTCAATGTCTGTGTCATCCATCTGCTGTTGTGTCTGTCTTGTCTTGTCTCTTCCTGTGTCTCTCCTATTTTTATGTTCTCTCTGTGTGATTGGTTGTTAAACGTTTTTTTATGTATATATATGTGTGTGTGTGTGTGTGTGTGTGTGAGAGAGAGAAAGCCAGAAGGTGCTTGTTTTTGCAGTTATGTGTGTCACTTCACTGGTTTGCGTGGGTTTCTCTGTGGTGTCTGTCTGAATGAAAGTGGTCGCAGGCTTATCTGGCTCCATTCTGACCCCTTGCATTTATTTCCCATAGGAGCACACTTCACCAGGCATCAACACAGCCATGCTACCTCCTGCCGACACTTTCACCTGGGCGCTCCCCAGGCTCCCATCTCAGCAGAGTTCCCTCTAGGACACGCCAGCCAGCCGCCTCAGACCGGCCTGGCCACCCACCTGCCCCCGGCACACCATCCGCCCCTCACTGCCCTGCCCGCACCCCCTCAGTTCCAGGATGTGCCGGGGCCTCCATTCCTACCTCAGGCCTTACACCAGCAATACCTCATTCAGCAGCAGCTTCTTGAAGCGCAGCACCGCAGGATTCTCCCGCACTCCAGGTAGAACTACTACCTGCATGCAAATACAGATACACACACAAACACAGAAAACCAAAGTCAAAGTTTTTATCTCATCTTATTGCAGAAGAACCCAGGAGCGTATTCCCCTGAACCCTCACCGACTGCGTTCAGGCTATGAGTACTCCCCTCCCCTTCATGTCCCCCAGCCAATGACACAGCAGCAGCAGCGATACCTGGCCGAAGGCACTGACTGGTGAGTCACTGTCGGAGATAAATGAGAGTCCCGTAGAGTCGAGAGACGATCCCGTCCTTTAATCTCTGCGCCCATCTGTCTGTCTGTCACATTGCCTGGCATGGGTGGTGATGTTGATTTAGTCGCCTGTCTGTCTGTCTGTCTGTCTGTCTGTAGGGATCTTAGCGTTGATGCTGGCCTCCCTCACCACCAGTACCAGCTCCAGCAGCTTCCGCAGCACTATCAGCATTACCTGGCCTCTCCTCGAATGCACCACTTCCCCAGGAACACATCTTCTGCACAAGTGGTATGTTGGTCACCCTGCTATGTTTTTATCTGAGCTTTATTAACTCTTCTCTTATCTTTCCTGTGTTCTACAGATATGTTGACCTATAAGTAAATATCTTTCTCCATTGATTTGATATGTTCTAAGATTGCAAATGCTGTGATCAAAACACCAAATGTATTCACTTAAAAGAGTACTACACCGATCTAGTAGTGCTCTCCTATACTATTGTTGAAAATCGATGCAGCAAAATCAGATACATTGTCTTTTTCATTTTATGCATTCTTCTTTCTTGTCAAAACCTGGCATCTATATTATCCAGTATGCACAATACTTTCTGGTGCTTTATGCAAGTAGCGGCTAATGTAGCTTTAACCCTCTAGCCTTTTCTAAAGGGGCCCATTCCATGATTATATCAAGAGTTTTGAAAACATACCAGCCTATTTTTGCGATTTTGCAACAGCATACAGTCGAGTTTTGGTGTTTGTGCCACCTTGAGTATTCTCAAAATTGTAATAAGGCAGCAAACACAATAGAGAAAAACTGACTACAGGATTAACATTGCTGTAATATGATTTCTTTTTTGCTAGGTTGTGCATGAAATCAGAAACTACCCATACCCACAGCTGCACCTGTTGGCACTGCAAAGTTTGAATCCTTCGAGGCACGCCACCGCAGTGCGAGAAAGTTATGAGGTAAATCTACCTCTGAATACGTTTCATATGCTTTCCACTCATCCATTAAAGCCAGTAAACAGTGCAAAACTGTTTACTGCCTGTGTCACGGTGCAGCCTCATCTGCATTTTTAGATACCTTGAACTTTGTCAATACTACTCAATTCTAGTTGAAAACTTACCTCGAGCTCCATTTAGCAGCAGCTGTGGTGCTTTCAATCATATCACACGATCTTCTTTAGTTGATGGAATTTTCTCAATTGTCGTGTAATTGCAGTTTGGAATTTCCAGTTTCTGAGCACTTGAAGAACATCTTGTCCATCTCGGCTTAAAATTTTAACTTCAACGTTCATTCTTGACTTTGAAAACATCAGTTGACAAAACAATCTCACCTCAAGGTCCATTTAGTAGTAGTGTTCTTTTTTTATTCTCCTCTGCACTCTTCTCAACTGTGTGTCTGCTCGTCAGGAGCTGTTGCAGCTAGAAGACAGGCTGGGGAGTGTCAGCAGAGGAGCTGTTCAGACTACCATAGAAAGATTCACCTTTCCACACAAATACAAGAAGGTAGGTTGGATAACAGTAACTACTGGATGTTAATAACATACAGAGATATAAAGAGTCGAATATTTTCACACTGGCCGTTTCTGACCTTGCCTTTTGTCTCTCTGTAATCTGACCTGCTAACAGAGAAAGCCCCTGCAGCTGAAGATTGGGGAGGAGGAGGAAACAGATGTGGATGAGAAATGCACCATCTGTTTGTCCATGCTGGAGGATGGAGAGGACGTCAGGTCAGAAATGCTCCATAGCCCCAGAACATCACTTTTCATTAAAGGAGATTTTAAACTCTTAATTCAAACGTTTGACAATTTAAAAAATTGGATGAAAAGACTGATGCCACTCTCTCAACTCTTTTAACTAAATGAAATAAGTACATGTACAGATGCACATGTATTCAAGGGATATTGTAGGATTATGTGTTTGCAGAAAAAGTTACAGACTCGATCATTTGTAAATTAGATCTCGACTCAGTGGACCATCTACTGTTAATTAAATTTGTCAGAGAATGCTAAGTATATCACAAACCATTAACTAATAGCCAAATCCCTCCTCTTGCTCACATTAGCAAAGAGTGTCATTGCAAATTATAACTCGTCCATCTTTAATCTGACTGATTTAGCTTTAACCAGCTGACACAGCCATAGATAAGACAATTAGTAGGCAGATTTTCATACTGTCTGACAGAACCAGGCTAGCTGTTTCCACTTGTTTAGAGTCTTTGTGCTAAGCTAAGCTAAGCTAACCACCTGCTGGCTCTGGCTTCATATACAGATATGACAGCGGTATCCATATTCTCATTTAACTCTCTGCCAGAAAGCTAAATGTTGAACTCTTCCTTTAAGCAACAACATGAGCATGTGCAGCTACACATGGATTTAAAACCAAGTTGGGGGAGTGAAACTCAGCAGTGAAGAGCTGTGCCCTGGGATGAGGAAAGGGGGTCGGTTTACAGCATATGAAGTCTCAGCTGTCTGACAGGCATGTAGGATTGATGACTCAACAGAAGTTGTCTCTACATGCCTGAGTGAACAAAATTAACTCCCTGCCGGTTCCAGTTCTCAAGTTCTTTGCAACCACATAACTATGCACTGGGAGAATCGTGCTTGCCAGTGTGAATTACCATTGACCCTGTGTCTCTCTGTCTCTCTGTCCTCCAGGAGATTGCCCTGCATGCACCTCTTCCACCAGGGCTGCGTGGACCAATGGCTGGCCACCAGCAGGAAGTGTCCAATCTGTCGAGTTGACATCGAAACACAGCTGAACCCTGACAGCTGATGAGATTCAAACTCCCCTCCTTGTCAATCACCCTCGTGAGGTTCCTGCTTTCTTCCACCCCGGCTTGCCGGCCCTCCCCCCCTTGTTGGGTGCTTTGCCAAATGTCTCCAGACTTCATGTGACATCACCACCCTTCTGACTCACGCTTTACTGAGCCAAGCCAGGATAACTAACTGAACGAGAGGCCGCAAAAGGACTCTCTTTATATAGAAGCACATCCCTCTGGAGGCAAAAGACACGCAGACACACACACATACTCATATACACAGGGTTTACTTGTAGCTTGCTGGTCGTAAGTGGGGTGTTGTTGCTGTTGTGGTGTTGTACTGTAGGTAGCCCCGGGCTGTGTAGCATGTCCTCAAAGCCATGACTTAATGTCCTGAGAGTGGAAAACACATAACCCCACACTGAGCTGGCTACTTTCTCTCTTTTTCTCTCTTTCTTTCTATATATATAAATATATATATATTTCTCTCTTTTCAAACACACTTCAATCAAAGTGAATATTCTGCCACACGAGGAAACTTAACAGAAACTAAATGCTCTGATGCCATGTTTACCTAAAGATCATTTGTGGTCATAGTAGAGTAGCAGTAACCAACAAGTGATATCTGGTGTGCTGTCGCCTTCTCGGGGGCAAGCACCAGCTAGCTGAGTGTTTTAATTCTATCATGCAGCTTTGACATTTTGCAATACAGTTGTACATTTACCTTGGGTTGGTGTCATGTGAGATGGTGTCATGTGAGTAGGTCTCTTTCACTGCCGCGGAAAACGAGTGATCGAGTCGTTCGTGTGTTTTAAAATTTCAAAATAGGTAGAAAGTGTTTTTACCAAAATGCATTTTTGTCACGGTGTAGCTTGAGCCTGACGCGCAGGCTCACATGTGTGTGTGAGCTCTGCCCTGCTGTGTGTGACTTAAAGAATGTGTCTAACAAATGTGTGGATGTTCAGAAAGTGCAAATGTGAGCATGTTTCAAGGGTTCAAGGCAACACCTGGACGTTAATTCACTGTAGGTTAATAGCATGGCCACTGGAGTGCTTATACAACACAAAGCCAAAAAAAAAAAGGGATGAAAAAAGGAAACTATGGTGCGCTGCAGAGCGAGTGGGAGGAAGATTTAGCTGCCCTTGTACCCGTGTCTTCATCTGGCGCGGGGCCAGTGGCAGAACAGTGTGTACTAAAAATGCATGTTTCATCATTGACTTGGGCTGTTAGCTTTGGTAGCGTTTCTTCAATTTAAAAAGGTACAGAGATGGCTTTGCATGACTTAGTTAATCTGAGCTGTGACTATCTTCTCAACACTAACAAACAAAAAAAAAAGAGCACGGTGTCAGTGGCTGCTTCCCTGACTTGTAGCGTGTGTTCATCCCTGTCCCCTTTGGTGGCAACAATGGGATCTTCTTTTTGATGTTTACCTTATTGCCTAAAGAACAAGCACATGTGACAATAGTTATAGCAACAAAAGGTTTTTCCTTGGTATTGCATTTGCGTTGGTTTATATTTAGGTATAGATTCATGCAGTGTTTCAGCAGAGAGAGGAGCTTGCGTATTGATCTTGTGTATTTGTGTGACAGACCTCCCCTCGTGGTTGCTATGCTGGTTGCTATGCTGTATTGCTAGAACATGTAGAACGTGGTGCGACGGAGGCAGCCTCCCTCTCGCAGTGCACACAGACGTGAGACGGCACAACAGCCGGAAAAACATTCAGGCTGTTAACAACAAGTCGAACCCCCCTCACTCGCTTCTTGGTCCGACCAGTTTTCACTTCTTTCTTTCTTTTTTTAAAACCGTTTGTGTCGACTTATCATTTCAGTTCCACAGGGCTGTGTCTTAAAAGGCTGCCTTTAGGACCCTCACTGTCCTATGCACTGTGATAGTAAAGGATAAGACTTGGCCCAGAGACTCTTTTAGCCTCAGTGGGCCAAGGATCAATTAACAAGGATTACTTCTCCCTGTCTTGTGCACTGCCGGTGTTGACACTGCCTCCTCCTGTAGTGGAGTCATCTGTGATGAAGTTTTCATAGTTTACACAGGGTGTTGTCAGTTGAGATGCCTTAAGTATTTAACAATCATAATTTATTACTAACTGTAGATATTGTGGGTATGTATTTAATTTTATATAGTTTTTTTTTGGGGGGGGGCAACTGAATCATAATTTATTTATTTAGAAATAACACAAAAATGCTATGAAAAAAACTATTACCTCATTTTTGCATTGTTTTAAATGGGAATGCTTTGCATGCAGTTGTACTTTTTTGAAACACTAAAGTTAAAGAAAAAAAAAAGAGCCCTGCTGTTTGATCTCCACAAGCTGGCTGTGCGATGTTTACTGTCCAAGGCTGAGCTACTGAGCCCGCTCTCCGTCTTTCTCTCTCTTTCTCGTTCTCTCTCTTTCTCAGTCTCTCTCTCTCTCTCTGTATTTCTCAGTCTCTCTCATGTGGTGCTGTGGATCTTGGTTACATTCCATTCAATGCAATTTCTCTGATCCCCCATGCTGTGATGTAGTGGACAAACTGCAATGAAGTGAATTGGTTTTAGTTTGTGTTATTATTATTTTTGCACTCACTTGTTTTAAATATGGGAACCCTCTCACTGGCAAAAAACTTAGTTTAGATAATTTAATATTATCACTAAGAACTCTGGCTTTTATTTTTAAATGCTCTGCTTCTCACAATGCACTATGGGTCTTAATAATGATCATCTGTGAAGCATGTTTCTTCGCTTTAACGCTTTGTGTCTATCTTTAATTTTCATCTCTCTGGTGTTTCTCTTCAGTTCCTTTTCCAGAATAGTTTGTAGATTTAAGCATAACAAGTGCCTCGCTTTAAGTGTTAGGAGATATTTCCATATTACTGAAACCATTAATAACAATCAGTCAATGAAGCCACCATGCCTTATTGGTTGCATAATTAATTAAAGGAATGAGTTGTGAAGGAGCTAAGACAACATTTGACAGGTGTGTACAAAAGCCATTATCCTCAAAATTCAAGTCAAGCTGTCCAAAATAGCTGTTGGTTTGTCGTGCTTGAAGCATTACGTGTTGTGGAAATAGTTCTGTAAAAAGGCATGTTTCACTGTGGGCTTTACAAATACTACAGAAATTCTTCCTTAGTTCATTTCTGTGTTCTGTTTATCTTCTATCTCCTTCACCTTTACTCATTTCTTTTTTTTTTTTTACCGTCCATCTCTCCTCTCAGACTATCCTCTGTTTCCTTTCACAGTCTAAAAGGAAGGCAAGGATTTTAAAGCACAACCTTTTCTAAAAATGCATGTTTTCTCAGGTTTCAATATAGTCTCAATGGTTTAATAGTATATGGTGAAAATATATACAAAGAATATAACAGGAAAAAAAAAATATTCATTTTGTTGCTGTTTGAAACTGAAAAACAAGGCTGAAGAGAAAATATCCCAAAAAGTGCCAGTGAAAGGGCTGCCGCCATCCTTGTATGAAAATCTGCTGTTTAGCTGTGACTGCGCAATGTTTTTCAATATAGGATATTTTATCTGAAAATAGAACTATTTATCATTAATATTAAAGCAATAGCGCATTAATGGTGATGAGTGTGTTGATGAAGAAATGGATGAGCATATTATGGGTAAATGTTAGATTCACATGTGTATTTTGTACTTTATTTATTATTACTACTAATAATAATGATAATGATTTCAAAAGTTGCATTGCTAAACCCAAACTGTTCTGTTTTTTAATTTTAATTTTATTTCATGGCTTGTATATTATCCTTTTGTATGTGCTCTTTTTGTAATAAATTGGATAAAATGGACACATACTTGTTTTTGTGTCTTATATTCTGGTTACACTTAAAAAAGCTGTTATTAGGTAAAATACAAACATTCAGCCTTTGTTATGCTTAACTTGTACATCAGGTGGAAACTGTATGTTTATAATGATGTATTGTGCATAGATTTATACACATTTTTCTAAAATTCAGCTTGACATATTTACTTTAAAGACTTTTGAAGAAGAAGATTTTTGGCCACTGGGGGCAACAGAACAAGCTATAAACATAAAATAGATTTTTATTATCTGTTCATATAAACATGCATAGCTGACAGGTTTTCAAAATAAGTCCAATTATTCCTTTCCCTTTTTTTTTTTTTTTTTTTTTAAATATGTGGCTCTTTAGCAGCTAAATGCTCCACTTTTTTTAACAACTTGCTACTAATTGTGTCTGTCTGCCGTTTGGTGCTGAGCAGGTAGTGTACAATGGGTTTATCAGAGCTTTTTCACTGAAAACAGTTATCTGCTGCTAGAAACAGATTGATGAGAGCGGTGAAGGTAAACCAAAACAGTGAAGTTGCAAGCCGTACAACCAAAATAATCAGCTAAAATAGTCTAAAACTCGTTGTAGAGCTGCAATGAACAGGAGAGCCAGCTGATAAATCTTTGTGAATCAGACAGATTGAAAGCTGGGATTCTGAGTATCACAAAAGAGTTTAATCTTTTATAAAACCTCCATTATAACAAAGCAACTGAGCAAACCATCCCTGACATATGAAATTTATAAAGAATGGCACATTCAGTTTACTGACCTAAGGAGATATTGTCACAGTATTTCATTGCTGGCTATATTCTCAGGTACAATTAAATATTGAACTACAATATAATTTAAAAAAACTATGAATGTAAAAATGTTTCTCAGTTCCTGAGATATAAAACTTGCCATAGCAGAATCTCTTTGGTCATTACTTTGAAACACGAGGGGAGATGCAATGGGAGTTTTTATAAATAACACTTTTTCTAATATTTCGGGTGGAGGACCCTGGCGATCTGCCTGTCAGCCCTCTTAATGTCCAGCCACTTCCCACAGAGGAAGATGGTGGTGACACCGTTGGCTGTGTTAGTGACTTCCACACGATCCAGCAGCCAGCCGGGGTTCAGGCCAGAGTTGTCGTGCTCTACCCGAACTTTCTGAAGCTCTCCCATGTCCAACATTTCCAGCAGGAAACGGTCCGTCTGCTCACGTTCGAAAAGGTTACGAAATTTCTGTCGCAGCTGCCTGCGGCCTGAATCTCCATTGGAGCCGTAGATAGTGATGAAAACATTGGCATCTGTACCTGCTCCCTTCTCATCACCCGTGATGACGATGATCTCATACTTGACGGGCACCAGGCTTCGAGCTTTACTGGCAAAGCTCTCGATGGCCTTTGTGCACTCAAAGGTCAAGAAATCATCCCTCTTTGGAGAGAGAGGGATGAGGGCATTGCACATGAAGAGGTACCTGGAGGTGAAGATGCAGAGAAGAAAGAATTTAAGTATGGTAGAAAGAAAAATAGATTGAATGGATGTAGAAGTGGATTCAGTAACTGATGGCTTACTTGTTTCCCAGTTCCCTTTCAGTAACAACGACCTCCTCCACATGCCAGTGAACCTCCCCCTTTACTTTCTTTCCATCCTTGGGTGTGTGGCCCAGGCAGATACCAGCGATGTCACCCAGGTTCTTGGACGAAAATTCAAACCTGTCAACGTTTCCCCTAAAAAGAGAGGGAAATAAGCATGTTAGAGTTAGTAGCTGTTCTCTTTAATTGGCCCACATACTTTGAATTCATGTCACTCATTAGTTCTGTGTCAGAATGAATTTTCTACAGGATGGTGTAATGTCATGATAGTGGATTGCAGCGTTGGTCTGCGCTCAAGTACTTGGTGCTGGTAGGATTATCATAATAAGTGTAAAGGGAGAATTAGAGAGAGAGAAAGCACATTTCTTTAAGCTTTTTCATGCAAACAAGTTGCACCTCATTGAATTAATCTTGCACCAAATACCTACCGCAAGAACCTCTTCTTCTTTGAGGAGTTCTCCATTACAAATTCTTTTGATCGGCCCTTCTTCCCCTCAAGTACAATCCAGGCATTTTCTTTGGTTTCGGCTTCATCCGTGTCTCCAGTTGTGATACAAATTTCATACTCTTTCAGAGAGAAAACATTGACAGTTAAAGCAAATTGTCTCAGTTCTACTCAGACGTGTCATGAACTGCATCATTTCCACACAAAATATACAGCATACAAGATGCCTTAGAACAAAAATATATCAGATAATTAAAAGTTAAGATTTTCATGAAAGTAAACACTATTTTGATTTTGATATTTCGATCAATTTAGATTTTTTTTTGCAACGCCCAATTATTGTATTTACATTCAGTAATTTACTCTCTATGTGGTGGAGTCCACCATTCCTGCACTGAAAACGACGCGGCACGTAATCCAGCAGCGTAATTTTGTCTTATTGATGTGAGCTGCTTTGTTTACTGTTCACTTTCTTTTAGCTGTAAATTACTGCTAATACAAACAGACCACATTAAAACAGCTGCAAAACACAGGTTGGCTTTTACTACAAAGAAAGCCCCAGGAAACACAATATATTTGTGTCCAAAGTTAGCATTGACTGATCATCAAAAATGTGCTGTTGTGTGGAAAACTAGCATTAAATCAGATTGCAGTTGACGGACTTCTTTAGTTTGTCTGGCTGCACTGTCAAACCCAGGTAACACGTCTGTTCTATTTCTGACAGAGTAGATATAGCTGCCTCAAGAAATCTGGGACCTGTAGTATTAAACTGCCCATGCCGTTACCACGGTAACCACGGGTGTCAGTAAATAAACCAGGACAAGAAAGTCTTAACTGATCCAACTTTAAAATGTGTTTATGTTCTGGCCTTACTCGTCTTCTCATTGAGGTCTAAGTAGTCGTTGTTAGCACAGGCCAGTTCTCTCATTATTTGCCCATCATCGTCATTCTTGGCAAGCCAGCGGTCACAGGGGAAACGAAATGTTTTGTCCATGATCTCATCCTTCACATCAATATACTCCAAGTGCCATCCTGGAGCAAGACCTGGGCGTAATGGGATCAGGAAACAAAACAAGACAGTAAGTAAAAGTAAATGCTGTCAAGAATGATGAAGCAGCAATCTTTCAGGCCAATGAGTAAAAAGCTGTGTCAGCCCTTCAGGTTTTCCTCAAAGCCAGACAGTGATGTAGCAGTTGTTTATGTTGGACAGATCAGCTGTTTAGGTTTCATCCAAATCAGACATGGCCCGATTTATCTTAAGTTGTGGGATAATAATTTAAGTTGCAACATGTAATTTCAGTAAATAAACTATATAGCACATCTCACCATGACAGAAGGTGCAGATTTAATCAGCCCACCATGCAGGGTGACTGTTTATCAGAAAGGCTGACCTGTGTTGTCGTGCCAGACTCGTACTTTGGAGAGCTCTCCCAGGCTGAGGATATCGGAGAAGCGAAATGTGTCCACCTGTTTGCGCTCAAACTTGTTGGACTTGTTGCACTCTTTCAATGCCAGCGTCCCTGAGTCTCCGTTTTCACCGAAAATGATGGTCCACACATTGGCATCAGTGCCTGCCCCTGAGGAAACAGGAGAGAGTCACTCAACAACAATGTAACAAACTGTAAGCTTATGAAATATACTGTATTCTGTATATATATACACGTGTGTGTGTATATATATATATATATATATACGTATATACTGTATGTGCTCTGGTTTAGGTCAATACTACAAATCTACAAAAACTGCACTTGAGCTCATCTGCGAACACTAGTCTTAGTGATGGTGATTTTAAATTTAAAAGTGCTTTTTAAACTGCAATGCATCTAACTATTGCAGGGATTTGTTAAACTATTTAATGAAATAAATAATGAGATTGCAAAGCCCTGAGGAAACTAATCAGCTAACACTCAACCACACCCTGCATAGAATAAAATGAGCAGCAGAGAGTCACATTCTCAGACTCAGACAGCACATCTATAATCCCTCTGTGCTTTATTATTTCATTACAGTGGGTTAGACACTAAGTGAATGTTTATTAGGCATTGATGAGCAGCAGCTCAGTCTGCAGCATGTTTTCAGTGTCCTAGTTTTACATGTGTCTATACAGATACTACAAATTCCGTTTTAATTAAGACCCCTGTAGTTTTTTTTAAGTTAATTTAAAGGTCCAGTGTGTAAATAAATATACATATGAATATTATATCCAATTTCTGCCCATAGATCTTAATAAATGTTACACACTGTACCTTTATGAATTGCATTTTATGTTTCTGTTACCTTTCAATGATTATTTTCTTTTCACATACCTCCCTTTATGCATATACATACTTGACATTCAGTGCTTCACACTATACATGCAAATCCCCCCCACAATGATCCCAAAGGAGACCATTACCTTATGCGCAGCATCGCCTATGTAATGTTGTCTGCATATATGTGTCCCTGTGTGTGTGTGTGTGTGTGTGTGTCTATCAGCCAGGCTCATTATTCCTCCCAGAGCCTCAGTGGTGGTGCAGGGCTACATCTTAGCTTCCAGTAACTGCCAAGGGCAGAGAACAGTCCTTTGAAGTCGGCTCAGACTTCTCGCCATGCTATCGTATTGATCAGCAGCGCCACTGAGCTGCAGAAAATACTGCATGAAAAAAAGAGGGAGCAAAGCCGCGTGGAGGGTTTCTGAAGAGGATTTCTCTCATTATAGTGTTGGAGTCAAACATGAATTATTCCACCTTTGCTCCTCCTGGAAAAACGCAAACCTCTGCACAAGGACAGGTCAAATGAGGATGAGGATCTATGTAACATATCTGTCTAACTCAGCCTTGAGCTTTGGATAGTGATGTGAAAGAATGAGATTACAGATTATAAATAGCCACTACAAGGTTGTATTACTAATTTGGCGTTACAGGGTGAGGAGGTCCACAATACCTAGCGGAGAATATTACTGAGCCTGTCTGAGCTGCTCTTCTCCCTCTGAGTGTC